TCCCTACAAACTTGTTTGTATTGTTTTTGAAGGATTGATATTAGCCATCCCTACAAACTTGTTTGTATTGTTTTTGAAGGATTGATATTAGCCATCCCTACATTTACTTCCTTTTTTGGAAAGTTTTTTTCTTTACTTGTTTGCTTGTTATTTAATACAATGTTTCAACAGACAAAGGAAGGCTGTATTTATAACCAAGTTCTAAATACAATGAGGTTCCAACTGTAATATTTATTGTTTAGCTATTATTGGCTGGTAATTCCTGTTTCACTCTGTACTTACGCTTTTTAAAGGAACACCAAATATCTGTAAGAAAGCTAACTTAAAGGGATAATGATAACATCGTGAACAATAAAATTATATTTTTTTAATTACTATTATTTATTAATAATACTTATAAAAGCGGATATTTTGTTTGAAACTATGTCACCTCAGTGAAATTGCTTGACACCATTGTTTTGGTTTTTGAGTTATCATGTAATAAAAAAGCAGCAGAAGAAAGAAGAACAAGAAATTCAAACTTTTTGCTATAATATTTACAGACATTTCTAGAACTTGTAACTCGGTCTTTACATAGATATTGTTATAAAAGGAAACACTGTAAAGTTCTGATGACCTATTGAGGAGATATTTAAAATATCATTTCGAAGAACAGTCCGAGCCATCCCAACACAGACAGTGCTACCACCTGCCCACGTTAAAATAATGTAGTGCTCGAAAGAGCTAAAAAGCTATTACGCCAGCGTTCTTTTATTTGCTTGTAGGGGTATTGGCGGGGGGTGTATGCACTAATCGATTAGCAAATATCGCTAATCGCCAAGCTATAGGGTACAGTTTGTTATAATGATTTAATATCCTCAAGAATCCTCAATTGAAGTTTATCAGTTGAAATAGCAGCATACACTCCATGTGCGCGTGGGGAGATACAGTAGCTGTAATCCTTTGCTGAATAAACTTGATGAAGTCATTACAAATGTCAAGTTCATGATATTGAAAAAGGAGCCTTAGCTGATGGTTTAAGTTATGATTTACCTGCTAAAGTATGACAATTTACTGGTTCGTTTGATGCAGTGAAAACTTTTGAAATAGTAGAAATACTATGGTATCTTCTCACATGGGTTTGTTTTAATGTCGCGGAAAGCTACAGGAGAGCTATCTACGCTAGCCGTCCCTAATTTAGCCGTGATAGACTAGAGGGAAGGCAGCCAATCAACACCATCCACAGCCAACTCTTCGGCTTCTCTTTTATCAAGAATAGAGAGACTGATCGCCACATTATAACGCCCCCACAGCTGAAAGAATTGCAAGTCAAGTATGCTAACCACTAGGCCACATTACAATGTAACGTTACAATTTAACTAAACACTTTGCTAAGTAGTGAGTACAGTTGAGGATTCTGCTAAATTGTGTGAGGATGATGTACAGTTGAGGATTCTGCTAAATAGTTTGAGGATGATGTACAGTTGAGGATTCTGCTAAATAGTGTGAGGATGATGTACAGTTGAGGATTCTGCTAAGTAGTGAGTACAAGTGAGGATGATGTACAGTTGAGGATTCTGCTAAATAGTGTGAGGATGATGTACAGTTGAGGATTTTGCTAAATAGTGTGAGGATGATGTACAGTTGAGGATTCTGCTAAATAGTGAGCACAAGTGAGGATGAAGTACAATTACGAATTCATGAGAATTTTGAGGTTACCATTCTGATGCTAATAAAAGTTAGTCTTTAACAGATAATTAACAACCCGTATTAACTTAAGGCTCAACAGAGTTCATAGTTGGTTCATAACAAACAACAAGATTCATCAAGTGCGAGGAAAAGAGAATATAAAACTCACAGTTTAGGCTGGAAATAAAGAAGCAACACTGATATAAAAAGCGACGAAACAAGTCCATTTTGTAAATAGATTTATCTAAACAAACAGTCAGAAAATCATAACACTAGAGCAATTATTGTCACTTTTTTCCTTTCCAACAAGTTTTTTTTTCCTTATCCGATTCAATAGTGTTTTAATTTAGGACTTTCTGGATTGTAGAACTACTTACCTGAGGTACTTTACACGAATTCAGAGTTCGACTAAATCGGATATCTACGTCATCTTTGAAAAGCCGAGGATCGTTCCTGGTGAATAGGTTAAAAATAAACAAAATAACTTTAAAGAAAAACTAGTTTGGAATTTCGTATTGAATATTTATATGTTTTAAAGTTCAAAATAGATAGAGAGATACGAAGCAATGAAATCAAGAATCATGTTATTTTTTTCCCATGTGGTAAGAAGAGGAAACACGAGATTCTTACACAACAATTTACCATTTATCTTAAGAAGAGCAATAATACAAAATTATCACTCATTTCTGATACTTTAGGCCCTATAAGTATGCTCATATTTTGTAATCCGTTGTGGGAATCATGCAAATCATCATTTCAATTGAAATACCTATCCTGGACACGAAATATACGATCTACATCACCATGGAGACAACAATAACGAATCAAACTTAAAACGAACAATCACGAAATATACAATCTACATCACCATAGAGACAAGAATAACGAATCAAACTTAAAACGAACAATCACGAAATATACAATCTACATCACCATAGAGACAAGAATAACGAATCAAACGTAAAACGAACAATCACGAAATATACAATCTACATCACCATAGAGACAAGAATAACGAATCAAACTTAAAACGAACAATCACGAAACATACA